CATCCGCTAATTTGGGATGATACAAACCACGACTGCCCTGCTATTTTTTTGTTTTCCTGAGGACTTGGCGTTATTTTGAGTTTCACCACATGGAAACAGAGGTCCTCCTGCCACCCCCCGGCTGCAGCTTTCCACACGCAGCTCTTTAGTGGCCCAATCTCAAGACAGGCTGGAGGACCGGATATATGCCCTGCAGCCCCAGCCCTTCCCCTGGCAGGGCTCACCTCTGCGGATGCTGTGACCCTGGTGCCTTAGCAGCAGAGAATCAGGGAATGGTTTGGGTTGGAAGAGACCTTAAAGGTATTCAGTTCCAACCCCCTGCCACGGGCAGGGACACCTTCCACTAGAGCAGGTTGCTCCAAGCCCCTGTGTCCAACGTGGCCTTGAACACTGCCAGGGATGGGGCAGCCACAGCTTCTCTGGGCACCCTGTGCCAGCGCCTCAGCACCCTCACAGGGAAGAACTTCTTCCTAATGTCTAATGTCATTCTCCCCTCTGTCAGTTTAAATCCATTCCCCCTTGTCCTGCCCTACAGGACCCCTTGTAAAAAGTCCCTCTCCAGATTTCTTGTAGTGTGTGTTGCATCTTCATCAGCACCCTCAACACTGCAAGCGAATATGGTGACAAACAGGGCAGGGGTCCCCACAGCATCTCCTGCCCTGTTGACATCCATCCTGAAGTAGCCCCAACTCTCTGCCCTGTTTTCCTTCCCCATGGCTTTTAAAATGTCAATGAAGTGAAGCAACATTCTGGGAAGCAGAAACAGGAAAGCAAGAGACCACGAGTGGAAGCGCTACACGTGCTGATGGCAAGCAGGCTCTGCAGCTGAACTGAAAAGTACCTCCCTCCCCCAAGGACGTATTTTAAAAGCTGAAAGCTAAGAACTTAAGTACAAAGGCTTTTGTGTTTTTATTGACATTGTAAGAAAGGTTTTTTTTTATCTTTGTTACAAAAGAGCTAAGTGGTTCTGAAAGCAGAAGTACAGTTCGTATGTACACAGTGCTACAGACCCTTCCAATCAACCTAAGGCTCGAGAAACATCAGCTCATAACTGCAGGTTTACCAAATGAAGACCACTAAGGCCCGTTACAGCCGCACACTAATCCTACCGTACGTAAATGTATTTACACATTTTCTTTTTTCTTAAAAAAAAAAAAGGATTACAAGCATTAAAAAAAAAAAAAAAAAAGGAAAAAAAAAGAAAAAGAACACATTTTTATCTTACACATCTGCAGGACTGACAACAGTAACTGTTCCATAGGAGACATTCCACCAATCCAAGGACAGTAACACGTGAATACCAGAGGTTTACAAGACGCTTCGGACACTATTAACAGTGGTATGTGCTATCAGCTGAATGGCAAGTACAGCCTCATTGGGAACATTTGGCAACACATCTTGGTCCCTCTCTTTTTACAGGAGCAACACAAAATAAGGCACATACATTGCAAGAATAGGAACACTGCTGCTGGGAGGCTGAGCCATTGCTCAGCAGGCATGGGAGAACTGACCAGCCACTTCATCAGGGGCTGGGGGAGCAGTGAGGGAAGGCGAGGACCCAGCCAGCACCATAATGCACGTACCATGTGGGGCTGACCTCCAAGGAAGGAGTAACATCATCCACCATGGGGATGTGCGGGGCCAGCACTCACCAGCAAAGCCCCTTGGGAAGCCTGCTGGCTCTCAGCAGAAACACCTTTCTTCCACCTGGCTGTACCTGACAGATGAAGTCCCACTGGTGGGGAGTAAAACTGCCTGGAGAAAGAGGTGTGCTTGATGCAGGCCAAGCGAGGCAGATGTGCCCAAGGGCAATGGTAACCAACCTGGAAGACCCCCACAGAGCCATCAGAAGAAAACGTGATGTAGACTCAGGCTGCAGCGCTTTAAAAACAAGGAATTCACACTATTTTTGGCCCTTCCTAATACTCTAGCATGAGTGGTGGGTTGCCAGCTACTATGGCAATGGCAACTGACGCACCAGACAGATACACAACAGCAAGCTTTGGCTCTGTAACTAGTAGAGCAGGAGTAGAAGGGTGCCAGTACGCGTGAGCAGTGACAGTGGGACATTCCCCAGACTGCCACATACTGAAACAGAGGATGACAAGTGAAAGCTGGTGCCCAGCCACACTCAAGAGTGCCCAGTCTACCTTTTCAAATCAAAACCCACACCCAAGACCGCTGGGCTACAACGTATTGCTACCCTCACAGGTACCAAAACAGGCTCTTTAGCATAAACCAGAAAAGATTAAGGCCAGGTTGGACACAGGGGCTTGGAGCAACCTTCTCTAGTGGAAGGTGTCCCTGCCTGTGGCAGGGGGTTGGAGCTGGATGAGCTTTAAGGTCCCTTCCAACCCAAACCGTTCTGCGAGTCTGTGAAAAGCATGAGGAGATACTAAAAGCAGAAAAGCGACACAGGAACCTCGAAGTGGCACATACACTTAATGATAAAAATGAGAAACCATTTGCACAAACTCCCCGGGGACACGGTGGAGTCTCTGGTTCTTCAACCTCACCAAATCAAAGCGGGATGCCTTTCTGCAGCATGTGATTTTGGCCAAGACACGCTACTGGCCCAAGACAGGGGTGAGTGACAAAGGTTTGCCAAATCCAGGAAGGCAAATTATATACTCAAACAGTCCCTTTTAGCCTTGAGCAGTATGAATGGCTCCTTCTAAGCTCTGATGGATCACATCTGTTAATTGCCTCCCAGCTTCAATTGGACCAGCAAATACAATTATGAACTGGAAATTGAGTTTTAAAAAATAGTTTCAGGGGTTTTTTTTAATGTATTGGCTCTACGACAATAAAAGGCTTCTCTCCCAAGTCACCTACTCCCAAGCTGGTCATAAGTCTCCCTGATGACATTGCTTATAAACATGTAATTTGATGGCTTAATAAACAGCCAGCAATTGGTTACCGAGAACCTTCTGGAACACGGCCAGCACAGCCTTCCCTCATGCACAGCGTGCTGTTTCTCCACAAGGGTATGAGCTGTTATCATGGCACTGCAATGTACAGCACGGCCATGGAAGCATGCCTGCTACCCCGGTGACCTGCCTGGCTGGTGGCATCCCTTCATCCCTGGACGAGGGGTAAGGGCTGGTACAGGCAGCAGGTCTGCCTCTGGTCGAGGGGAGCACAACAAGGAGCAGCACTGCCACACTGCAAACCAGCTATTTGCCATGGGTGAGCTGTGCCTGATGCCCTGTGCAGCCCAGGGACCACTGCAGGAGGGATGTGATAGCTGGACATGGGCAGGAAGGTCGGGAGGGGTAAAGAGCAGGATGGGGGAATATGCGTGCAGGAGACGGAGGAAGGAAGAAATGCTTGCTAAAGATATGGAAAAAGACAGGAGCTGGGTGATCACAAAAGCTGCAGGATATTTACATTTGTCTCGCTTTCTGACATTCCAGCTCACAGTGCAAATCACTTGGTATGTGCTGTGATAAACCCACATACGGACCCAGCACCAGATTCCTATGATGTTTTCCTACTGATTTACAGCTTCTTCCTGTAACAGCTGTTAATAGATCAATGTTATCTGACAGCTTCACTGAGGTTGTATTCCTACACATTTCCTCAAATGCCATGCCCTGAATCAGCTGGTATTTCACCTTTTTTTCCAGTCAAAAGAATGAATGCTGTGGCCTCTAGCCTATAAAAATCACTTTCTGCTTGTTTCTTTGCTACTTCTAATGCAGTTTAAATTTCTGGATTTTGTGAAGCCTGGATATAGAGGAAAACATTTAAGATTATCAGTTTGCTTGCCATCACTTTGATTTATTTGGCTAGTTTAAGAATTGGGCCATTCTTTTTCTAGTTGTTTTACATGCCATGGCCATGTAACTGTGTTACACCAATGGGCATTTACTTGGTTTAAAACACCCATCCATGAAGCTGTATGTGCTCAAAGGGATGTGCAAGACAGTTCTGCTGGCAAAGGAATTGCTATTGTGAATAAAAAGCAGTGGCTCAGCAAATTACATCTCAGCAATTTGCATTACATTAAAAATCCCCAGTATGGCATACTGCAATTTTGTTATTTCATTGTATGAAATACTCCGTAAGACCCTGATCACCTCTCCACACATGTGGTATGCAAGGAAGGCATTCCAGACTACACGAATGACGCCTGTAATTTCACTATCCAATCATTTACAAAAGAAGACTGAAAAACAAGAGTACCCAATAGTGCAGAAGATGAGATTCGGACTAAGAATAGCTTTCTGGTCCTCTCCTTCCTCTGAAATGGATTAAACATGACACAGTCTCAGTATCATGATGCAAGGCAGTGACAGCTATCTGTATGTGTGTTTACAAAAACCCTTAAACGTTTGCTAGGGATCAAAGGGATGATGGTTTGACATTTCCTATTTGCTTGAACCTCCTCATTTCCTGTGCTCCATGACTCTGAAACTACAGCCTAGGGGTACCATGTCAGTGCATATCTAAAGGGTTGTCCACCTCAGTGCGATCTATCCAGTGCATCCAGAGAGGATTTCATCACTGTACGCTCACTTCACATTGTGCCTGGTTATTTTGTGCCTATATGTTTAGGGGGAAAAGTTGCAACAAGTTGTAGAAGGTCTAGTTTCTTTTGAGTAACAGAAAAATTGCAAAGTTATTTCATCAGACCTTTCTTAAAAAAAAAATATCCCAAAACAAAACAAAAACATGCATTTCACACGTTTACATTGGTTTACAATTAAAAAAAGGCAAAAAGAAGCATACAGACATTCAAAAAGGGGGGGAGAGAGAGAGAAAAGGGGAGGGAGGAATGGGTGTAGCAATACTGATTCAAAACTGAAATGGAAGACAGTTTCTCCCTAGAACACTTTAGGGTTTTCAGAGTCCTTATTCCATAAAAGGAATATACTTGAAACACATCCCATTTAGGTGAGATGAGATTGCTAAAATACATACACAACTAAAAAATATGAGTCTTTTTCATCTGTTATCTCCTAAGGGTTTTTTTTTGTTTGTTTGTTTTGTTCTTTATGTCTATTGCATAACAGCAAGAAACTTGCTTTCTTCTGCAAGTGAGGTCAACAAAGAGCTCATGTCCCCAATAGCCATGTTGGTTGTGCTTACGGGCATAGCTGGGAATGTAAGAGACGCTCGGGGAGTGGTGAGGCGTGAGGAATTGCGGGAGAGATTCTGAATGATACTCGGGCTCAGGGCTCCTGAAATTAAGCTGACATGGTCCCCATCATCTATGATAGCATCGAAATCAATCTGCACACCCTCTAGGCTGGTGCTGTCAATGCTGTCAACTGTGCTTGACACTTGGTTAGCCCCCGGGGAAAGAAGCTCGGATGAGTTTGCAGTCGCAGTCCCCTGCAGCAAGCAGTTAGCTTCTGAACCAAAGAAAGAACCTGTTTTCATAGCTTGGTGGCTAAAGCCCGTGGTTTGGTCATATAACTGACCAGAGTAATTCTGCACGTTGGAGCAGAACTGCTGTGATTGACCTTGCATCTCCATCTTAATGGTGTTTACCCTGTACGCCTGGTTGCCATCACTTACATGTCCTTGCTGTTGTGCCAGGTTGTTTCTCAACATGTTTTGCCGTCTGTTGCCGCTGTAGTTAGCGCATGGCTGGTAACTTTTGGCCACCAACAAACCTGAAGGCTGGTTACCAATGGTGTGAGACACTGGTGGACAACTCTGCGGCCCTTGATACAGGCTGCTTTGTGAGGTAGGACTAACCTGCCCTAGCATCATTTGACCGGATTGATCCACTCCCTGGTAATGAACGCCATCTCCAACTGGTTGGTTTTGTAAATAGTCCTGTTCCATCATATTCCTGTTCTGCATCCCATTTGCCATACTGGTGGCTTGATCGCTGGATACCATGGGATGGCCGAAATTTTGTTGGTTCCCACTCACTGGCATGTTGCTGCTTCTCAACTTCTGCCCTTGAACTGCCACACCACAGGAGTTGTCCACTGCCCCAGACATCATTGCTTGCCTTCCGATGCTGTCGCTGTAAGGCTTATTTGGCTGCATGCTGAAAGAATTACCAGCTCCGCTGCCAAGAACCATGTTCTGCTGTAAACCATAGGAACCAGTGTTCTCCATCAGGTTCTGATAGCTGTTCTGCTGGGCCATGTTGCTTCTCTCCAGGCTCTGCTGCTGACCCACCATATTGTTATACAGCCTGAAGGCCCGAGACTGCTGCACCGCTGAGCGCTGGCCACATTTCAGTTTCGAAGGAGATAAGTCAGAACTTCCTGAGCTTACTTCATTCCACTGAATGGGCAAGTCGCTCTTGTTTGCCTCGGAACCTGCCTGCTGACTGCTCAGTGGAGGGGCTTGGTCAAAGTTGCTGGGGTTGTTGTTTCCCAACACTGAGCTGTGATGCATTTTGTTGCCGTCTAGGACATTGTTCAACAAGTGGTCGTACATGCCCTGGTTCTGGGAATTCAGATACTGAACCACATCATCTGGCAGGAGATCCTCATCGTTTAGACTGCCACCCGCTTCCATCGTAGCAGCCTCCAGGGCAACATTCTCGCTGATGCTCGGAGGACAAGGGGAGCTGAAGCCGCGGAAGACGCCACCCTCAGAACGGGTATAGTTCTGAAGAACAAGGTTGCGCTTTTCCATGGATGGAGGCAAAGCAGGAGGGTTAAAGCTATTAAGACTGTTGAAACGCTGGACTCTAGGGACAGAGAGGTTGTCGGAGGCCATTCTTACCGGATCACTGGCTCTCCTTGTCCCATTTCCTAAAGCATCATGAGACAGAAAATGCCTCCTGCTGTAACCATTTGCCCCACCATCACTACATCTTCGAGGGGCATTCACTGAAGGCAGTGGAGATACTCCAGACTCCCTGCAGTCACCCAAGAGTGCCATCCTTGTTTTGAGGCTCATCCTCTCCATGTTAGGCAGTGGAGTTGGTGGGGGTCCACCAGTAGCTGCTGCATATTTAGCTTTCAGCCTGTATTGCTGGGCCGGGGTGAGGCTGAGAAGACTTGGCAGGTCATCGCACTGGCTCGCTTCACTGGAGCGCCGGGAGGCATCCGTCGAGATGGGGTCATAGGAGTCTGCAACACTCACGTTCTGCGGTCTCCCCTCTGCCTGGGAGGCATCGCTGGACCTCCGGCTGGAGAAGCAAGGTGAGATTCCAGAGGACCTGCGGCTGCTCAGGTAGGCTGAACTGATTGTGCTAGTATTGCTGTCCCTCCTGTTCAGCATGTTCAACACAGTGATGTCCGTACTCGAAAGTTCGTTCCTGTTTGGCAGAATAGTCATGGACCCTCCTACACTGCAGCTGCTGTTCGACTGGGTACCTGGAGGTAAAATTCACAGTTAAACAAACGGGCATCACCCAGAAACTAGAACAGAAAACACCCAGGAAAGAAGTAAGGGGAGTACAGAGGAAGAGCCTGCATCATCACAGCAAATCGTAGCAGTGCTCCTTCTTGAAAGAAGTAGGGATAAAACTCTGTCCTTAGGTTAAAAGCTAATTCAGAGACTCAAGGGTAACATTTCAGTGTGAATCCCACATCTTTTATAGGCCATAGCAATTAACTGTCATCAGCTGGTATAGCACAGTGCAGCTATGCTGACTGATGAGCCAGAAGGACATTCTTAAAGGAGCTTTTTATAGGCAAAATATAATTGAACAGGCATTTGCATGGGATGGCAAAATATGCAAATTGAAGGCTATTCAAGGTGATTTCTAAGACCTCTTGAAATATTCTTGACATAACTCCTAACAACTGCAAAACATCTTTGCTGGTTTCCTTGTTTTGTTTAGGTTTTAGGTAAACAGAATACATTTCTTAATTTTGCATAGTTTCTTTCAATTGAACAGACTTCAGAAAATCTGGGCTGTCACTGCTGGGCAGAGAGCAGAAATCAGTGGGCAATGTAGAGGCAGCAGGGACATATATTATGGCAGTGAGCAGCTCCTTGTACAAAACCAGCTATGGATCTTCAGAGTTCCATCTTGCCTTGCTCCCATCTACGGCTATCTGCCCTCTGTAGCAGTAGTATCTGTACATACAATTACTAGTATGTGTGGAAACAGTTTATTTAAAGGGCAGCTGACACATCTATGCAAAAGGTGCCTTGCTAAGGCCTCATATGAAAGAGTTCCATACAATAAACTGGCAGGTATTTATTTCATCTGCCTTGCCTCAGAACAAGACAGGATTATGGCCATCTTGGGTCCAAACCTTTAACTGTAGGGAATATTTAAAACCTGACACATGGCTCCCTTGCCTTGCTGCCCTCTGTTCTGTAAAACATGGGTCTATCAGACTTCTCTCAGGGTGGGTAGTAGGACTTGTAACGAGGGGATGAACAGAAAGTCATCAATTTCTGAACTATTCTCACCGCTGCTGAGTTTCACAAGGTGCAACTACTCTATTTGCAAGGGTTGCAAGATTGAGCGAGCAAGCAACAAATTTAAGGGCAAAAAGCGTTACCACTCCTGTTATGTGTTTCTCACCATTTCCTATGAGAGGCGGCAAGGTCGGGGCTTTGGAAGGTGGAACGGGGTTCAGTCTTGGAAGCATTCCATTAACTTGTTTCAACCTTTCTAATTTCACTTGCTCCATCCATTTGGTCCCTGTCATATTCCTCCTGGCCTGTAAGCCAAGTGCTGTGGTGGCTGTGGAAATGGTAGAGTCCATGATTGGGGTTTCATCGATGACACTGAGGTCTCCTACACTACCACCACCGGTCAGAGTAAGCTCGATCCCATTGTTGGAATAGTTGCTGATGGGGGACTGTTCGCTGCTGCATGTAGACTGACCACCAGGGCTTGGCTGAGATGTCTGTTGAAGTAAGAAACAAAAGCACATGAGGATTAAGCAAACAACGCTAAGAAGAGGCACTTGCAGCAAATGCAGGTGTAACTGGAGCCAAAGAAAACCAAATGTAAAGTTTAGCATTAAATGGTAACAACGATCATTCATTCAGAGTCTTTCTAGGTAGTGCTTTTAACTGTAGTGAATGCCATTGCAAAACTAAAGATTAAAATCCACTTTATTATCTTGCTGATACTATACTTTATACCTACATGAGACATTTATTTCAGTTATTCCCTTAATTACTTCTATCACTTCATGTCATTTATGTAATGGATACTCTACTTTGGGTATGCCCTGCACCCAGTTGAAGCTGCAGCTCAATAAACCAAACTAGAATTCAGTTACAGAGTTTAATTTACACTGCTAGGCTTGCAACAAGCAAACAAACAAGACTCCAACAACGCTGGAATTTGGGTTTTTTTAATTAGACTTGTGGCTAAAGAATGTAAGTATTTTCCAAGCTTAAGGCTCATTGTTAGGAGCAGCGGTTAGCTTGAAATGTTGGCGTGTAACAGAACAGGGACAAAACACCAGTGCAAAACATACTGTATATTATGAGCATCCTGTGACAATAGCAGCACTGGGGTCTAACTTCTACCTCCTGTTATACCTAACTTATACCACCTCTGCCCTGAACGAAGGTGGTGACGATCTACTGAATCAAATCCTTCGTTTCAATAGAATTTAACACTTCAAATTTAAGAATTTAAGTACACAGTACAAGCTGCTAATCTACAGGAATATAATCCCGCTGCAATAGCTTCTTCCTTCTTAATACTGTGTTCCCTGCTGCTCTAGCGAACTCTGGCTGTGGGGAAACACGGACTTGATTTATTTTTCATCAAGTTCTCATAAAAGAATGGGAAAACTTCTGTGGCAAACTGAAACACTCAGACAGACTGACAGACAAAACAGACAGCAAGACGGACAGAAGTCTCTCGATGTAGTATGTCACTGTAGGTTGTAGCAGTGTGATCACAGATCAGTGGGGCATGCAGTATCATTTTGCTCCCAAGAACAGTTTCATTTAAGTATGTCAAGTTTGGGGTTTCTCTTGTGTGTTTTAGTATTTTTTTAAGTATTTTTAAATATTCTTTTCTGTGATCTTTTATGCACATTTTACTGACAAATGCTAGCTAGAACTTCTGAGGGAGCAGTGGCGGCATTTGCTTTTAACATCACTGAATGAAGACACAGATTCATAGCACTATTGTAGCTCCATATGCCCCTGAGGAGTCCATTAAGATGCAGTAACTATTTTATTATTTCTAACTTGAACGATGATACTTAGAATTTATGAGGCCACACTGAGCAAGTCCATTTCCAAATCCTGGCCATGGCAAATTTGGTGACAAAAATAGAAATAACAGTTATTATATGGAAGAGCATTTGTGCTTCTGGACAATAGTCCCACACCATAAGTTAGAAAAGCAATAAAGGTCAGAAGCCTGTTCTTGTAGCCATATGTCAAGATCACACTGAGGTAGGTTACAGAAATAAGAACTGCCTCATGGAGAACATACATACATTTCTAGATGTGCAACACAGAAAAAAAAAGGATGTGTCATCTAAAGGGGAAGGTACACAAACATTTCTGAAGACACTTCACCAATATAAGCCAGATTTTTCACATGTCCAGTGTTGCAAAATGCTCACAGCACATTACAATTGGGAATGCGTTTGATGGATTGTACATTACTAAATAAAGGAATGACTGGACAACAGGCAGAAGGCTAAAATAAAGACAAAAATAATGTTGCAATAGGAAAAATGGCAGAAAAGTTAAAAAGCCCTCACCTTATTACCCACTGTCCTTAGGAAGTTAGAACAAGACATTTAAGAGCATTAGACAGAAAAGACATTGGATTAGTTGGAAAACAGAAAATATATCTTAATTCATACAAGCAGTGAAAAGCAGGAAATACAGAATTGTTTTCAAATATATATTTCATTGAGAAATATTTAATACTATGTAGCAATCAGCATTAAGACCCCTCTCCTGCAAATGTTATTCCTTTTAAAACTGCCTATGCTCCATATGCCTCAATATTGCTACAGATTTACCTAGCTAATCAAGAGGGGAATGGGTTTTGTTCCTTTGTAACCCAAGGTAGTTATCACCGAAGACAGCAGATCTCCTTTACACTTTTTGATTTAACAGCTCTAGGCCCCTGGAATTTTCTGAATGCGGGATTAAAACTCCACAATTTGGGATAAGCCTTAGGCACAACATAGCAGTAACTCATATTTCAATGAGTAATTGCTTTGAATTGCGGCATGATTAACAAAATGAGCAGAATTTGGAGTGCTCATATTTGTAGTCCCCAGGGGTTGGGTCCAGATGAATCACAAACCCAGACACGGAAGAGGATGGAGTAACTGCCTTTGCTAGTTTCAATCCTTGTGGAGAGGAGGGTTGGCAAATGAAATGCTGGCAAATGAAAGAACTTTAAGATAAGATGTCAAAAAATGGAGTAAGGTCGTTTCAACATACAAGGCTTTACTGTTTTAACGAAGGATGATAAGGTAAACCAAGAAAAAGACCTGCAGAGACTCTTAATTCAACTCAGATTAGTTAAATTGGAATTAGATTAACTTGGTCAAGTTAAATTAAGTATCAGATGAACATCGCACTAGAGATCAAATGTTATCTAAAGATCTCCTGCTGTTTAAGAAAGTCAATTTATCCTGCCTCAGTTTGATCCATGATCCAACAATGTCAAGCCCCCAAAATCCAGTTATTTCCCCAGGTTCTTTAAAAAATTATCATCATCAAAATCATCATTTTAATCTTTCAGACCTGGGTTTTTTTCTTTTGCATTCTAGCTTTGAGCCTCCAGGATTCACATTCTCCAACTTTCTTCTGTAAACTAGAGAATGGGGAAAAAAGCACCCCTTTTAAAGGTGAAAACTGCTTTTCTCATAATATGCTGATCCCAAAGACGGAGCTTTAAGAGAAACAACTGTTGTGAGAGTTGCCAACGCTGCACTTACTGCACATGGCACAGACTAGATGTCAGCTTTTTATTTACTATTAGGCTTAAAAAACCAAAACATTTTACAACTTAAAAAAGAAAACCTCACAAAACCAAACCTTGTGAGCTAGAGTTTATGGGCTTGAGCATTTCATAAAGAGATTATCAACTGGTTGCAAGAAGAAAAAGGACAAAGGTGTATTGCATACCATTGGTTTTTCCGACTTGACCGCTTTCACTTGGAGGCATTCTTCACGCTTTGAGGTAGTGTTGCTGAGGTCCTTCTGCTCACCAATTGCACCCTGAGTCTGATGGCCTGGTGACCGGGTCTGAGAGTGGCTGCCTGGGTCTCTTGGTGGCGGAGGCCTTGGGTGGATATCTCCCCGCTGCTTCTTGGTGACATGTGCCTCCGGGCCATGCACGGTCTTCACGTGTTTCCGGAGAGAGCTGGGGTCTGTGTAGCGCTTTGTGCAGCCCGGTATCTTGCAAACATATGGTTTCTGCCAAGACAGGAAAAACACTTAAATTAGATTTAATTTCATGTGGGACTCCCGAAGAGCTCCTTGGAGCACAGCTGGTGTTACAGTTACACACTGTCACAGTGAATTTGTCATCTGATTTATGGTCTCCACAGTGACTGAATCATAGAATGGTTTCAGTTAGAAGGGACCTTGAAGATCATCCAGTTCCAACCCCCTGCCACGGGCAGGGACACCTTCTGCTAGAGCAGGTTGCTCCAAGCCCCTGTGTCCAACCTGGCCTTGAACACTGCCAGGGATGGGGCAGCCACAGCTTCTCTGGGCACCCTGTGCCAGCGCCTCAGCACCCTCACAGGGAAGGATTTCTTTCTTGTATCTAATCTATACCTACCCTCTTTCAGTTTAAAGCCATTAACCCTTGTCCTATCAAGTCAAACCTATTCATTCCTTTTGGTTTTGAAGGTACCCATTAATGCTGCATAGTTTACAGAGGGCAGTGCCTCTCATGGTATGAACTGGCACAGCTTTCACTTAGAAGAGTCACAGAAGAATCAACAGAGCTATGGCAATTTATGAAGACTGGCCTTACTTCTATCCTGTCCCGTGCCCTCAGCAGTTCAATACTCTGCTTCTAGTATACCCAGAACTATACTTCTTGACATTCAAATGCAAACAAACTCCTTCAAAACATGTTGGGACATTTGTTCAGGCAGGATTACCTGAGGAAACAATTTTTTTCCTGGCTCTTTCAGATCACCAGTATAATGTCAAAGCACAGGATACAGTCCATAAGCATTTCCATGTTGCAGCAATATATGTACTAGTACTATTAGTGCTACTTGCATAGCTTATTGCTTTAAAAAGAAACAAAACCTGTTTCCTGTGCATTTGTCTAGTTCACTAATCAGTGTAGAATAAAGTAAATTTACTGTCTTATAATTACAAGACTTTGTTCTTGTATTATGAGAACATCAGAAAGAAGAGCCGAGCCCTTTCTAAACATTTTAATTGCCTCAGGAAACAAAGTGGCATTTATTCACTTTTATTACTGATCTTTTTCCCACATCACTACTATTTTAAAGTCTTATTTGTTCCAGCTCTCAAGAAGAAGAAAAAGAGACCCTCCTGTGGAGTTCCTCAATGGGGTTCTCTGTGTAGGCACACATGACACCATGGAGCTTTCGACAAATGTAGCTTCATCATGGCTATTTAAGGCCTGAGCCTGCCTCCACTGAGATCAAGCTCCTATTGACTTAAGAAGGAGAGAAAATGTTGATCATGAGGAATTTAAAGTTGATGCTGAGCTACTGAGGCAGGTTTTCTCGAGATGCTATGGAAGTATGAGTGATTTAGCTCTCTCCTACACGTGTAAGGCACATCTTCACCAAGATATGTCAGCTGCTTTTAAATCTGTCTACAGGTTGCCTGCTTACAACCAAAATGGCACTGTGAGGAAGTGCTAAACTGGGTCTGCGTGTTCCACAGTATTCATGGCACTCCATCACTGCCTAAGAATATCAGCCTGTTTCATTGTGAAGTAATGGTGTAGGAGATTTCTCAGTTGCCCTGGCTGCTGTACCTACCAGAAATGACGTGCAGCAGGAAAATCTTCTTGGTGACTTACTGTTAAATGTGAAATCCTGATTTTAAAACACAAGCAGTACAGGTCATGTCTTTAAGTTTGAGAGGATCCTACTCATCAGCTAGGCAACAGAGTGGTTAAGATAGTGAGTGAAAAAATGCTCAGCCAGCTATTGGCCAGCCTTGGTGAGCTTCCTTCTACCTCGGTGACAATCCACAGAACTGCTGCTGGGCTTCAGTGCAGTTGTTATTTGGGCTGCTGAGAGCACACCCTACAGGGATGGGGGGGACTCACAGATGTGCAACACTCCGCTTCTCTTGTGACTCAAGAGATGCTACAGGGACCATGGCAAGGGGTTGGAACTTCATAGGAGGGGGCAGCAGTACCAGGAAAGACACAGTAATAAAGAGTTGTTACACTGAGAGTGTGGGAGATGGCTGTGACTGCCACAGCTAGATTGCTTGAGAAAAGATCAAATTCCCTTCACTGCATCCCTACTGTGTGAGGTCTGTTCAGGATACGAAGACTGAAATAGCCCAGAGAAGATGGAAAAAGCATAACTTAGAACGTAACAGGGTAACCCAGACTGTCAAAACGCTGGAGACTTCTCTCAAGCTGTCTGCAGAAGCCAAGAAGGGTGCTGGAAAAGGCCGCAAGAGCTGCCAGTGTCTCCACTGACCAGGGCAAGGGGACATGCTCCAGGCAAGCCCTCAGCTCCGGAGGGAAGAATGATCCCAGCTATTCAGGGAAACCAGGATCTGTCCTTGCTTAATGTATTAGATCCTTCATTCAAACCTCTCATGCTTAGTAAAATGACCCAAAGCCTCTCCAGGTCCACAGGACACGGGAATGACCATGCTGGCAAAACCCATCTAGAACAATATCCTTTCAGGTTGCTGAGGGTTTCTGTGCCTGTCTGTAACAAATTCCTGTGACCACATTGTAAGTCTGTTTGACACCAACTGTTTCATACTGTTTTTGAAGCTGTGCTTGCTTACCTCATTGGAATGAGTCCTGTTTTGGTGCTTGGCCCTGTCGGATGCGTTGGAGAAAGCTTTGTTGCAGCCTTCATGTTCACACACATATGGTTTCTCTCCAGTGTGAGATCTCAAGTGCGTTTTCAAGTTTTCTAGTCTGGAGTAGGCCTTTGTACAACCTTCAAACTGCAGATAAGAAGTACGTCTGGATTACGTTTCATCTTTGGACATGCATGAAACAGTAAAAGCTGACCTGTAACAGTTCAGAAACTTTCCAAGCCTTCATAACCTTGCCCAATGTAATTCTGGTTTGATTTGGTGGATTTTAATTTTGCCCAGGCAAACCCCATCACAGCTCAAGTTAAAATGCTTCCGGCATCTGCTGTAACAGGAGAGCACAGTATTTGTGCACTTCTATCTAAGACAGAAATACATTGTGAACTCATTAGGACACTGGTGGCCAGCAAAAATGCCCAGCTCTGTGAGAGAAAGTGCTTTTCAATAATTAAGCAAACTGTGCCCTGTGTAATAATGCCTTCTAGGGCTTCTCTGCACTTTAAACTTGAGGAAGTGGGGCAAATTATCCAGTGAATCCCATCTCCTAAAGCTCTTGTCATCTGGCTAAGCTGGATAATGAAGCAGACATGGAAGTCCTCTAGCAGACTAAGTAACTTCTCTAACGAATGTCCAATGGACAAGGGATCAGGGGGTGCAGCACCTGTGCTGCTCTTTCCCCTGCATAGCCCCAGCTCCCCCATCCAAGCCTGAAGCTCAGCCCTCTTTACTCACAGTGCATTTGTGTGGCTTTTCCCCTGTATGTCTCCTCATGTGGACCACCAGCATATACTGGGCTTTGAATGGTTTCTGCTCCCGGGAACAGTCCAGCCATCGGCACACGAACTCTTTCTTCTCACCATGGATATGGTCATTGTTTATGTGCTGTTTGGGTAGAAAAGAGATTATGGATTAACAGAAATGTAACATCATCACCAGCTTTACTGTAACTTTGCATAGGAACAACACCAGAGGCTCAGGTGTGAACTGGGATCCTGCAGTACTGAAAGAGCAAGACTCTCTGTGCTCCAAAGTGATCCCTGGGTTCAAATCATAGATCTTACTGAAAGTCCACTAAGGCCCATGAATTTGTGTTTACTGATGTCAACGAGCTTTGTATCAGGCCTCAGGGACACAGGCTGTCAAATGGAGCAAATCTCACACACAGCACCATTCACATAAGTCACATTGAGTAATGCCTTCTTGGACCAGCAAAGCCTTACTTAAATGCAACTCAACACAAATGAAATCAGGCCTTTAAAAACACATCCTCCAACCTGAAAAATCAACAGAACTGCTAAACCGAGCCTCCACCAAACCTTTTAGCCCTGCATTGTCTTTCAGTGAATGAATCGGGTTAGAGCACATGGTTAGAAAGTGGAAGTGAGGACAGTCAGCCTGGGAAAAACACAGGGACATTGTCCAGGAAGCTAGAGATCAGGTCAGGAAAGCTAAGGCCCAACTATAATTGAGTCTGCTCAGGGATGTCAGAGATAACAGGCAACGCTTCTATAGGTTTAGTAGCAAACAGAAGACAGACTAGGGATAATGTGGTCCCGCTCCAGAAGGAAACAGAAGAACCGGCTACCCTGGATTTAGAGAAGGCTGAGGTTCTTAATGACTTCTTTGCCTCAATTTTCACCAGCAAGTGCTCTGACCACACTGCCCACGTCTTGGAAGGCAGAAGCAGGGACTGTGAGAACGAAGACCTTAGGCCCACTGCAGGAGAGGATCAGGTTCGAGGAGTATCATAGACTTCCCCATTGCTGTACTTCCCACCACAGCTTGCTAGCTGTGCCACTAGATGGCTGCATTTCTCAGCAAATGAGATTATTTCCATTAAGGTACTGGACAAAATCCTTCCAGAGTTCGTGTTTGATCACAGCACAGGGATGAAATCTGTATCTACTCTGTAAGTAGCTCACAGAAAAAGCCAGCCATACAGCAACTCAGTAGTTCATAATGGAACACAAAAAAGATAATCCCCATCTTTTCTCAAGTCCTGAAAACAATCAGGAAACCAAATAAAATCACTTATGTTCAGCATTGTGTAGCATTGCCATGGCAAACAGATGTGCAGTGCCTGTAAAAGATGACTGCCTTTTTTCTCCTGAAACTTTATTGCCATTTCTTAAAAGTTGTGATGGGGCACAGAGCACAGGAACAGAGCAGATGTGCTGGACAATGTACAACATGTAATCTGCAGGAGTTTAAGTTTCAAGTGCAGATCTCTTGCCCGTTTGTACTACACACGCCTGTTCCAAAAATGTACAGATGCCCTGCACTCTAATGGCATCAGAAAAGTACCATGAGACCAATGTGCACTCTTCTTTCCTGAAATAAAAAGAAGAAATGGGACAAAACGCATCTGCCCAATTCTTGGTCAAATCCTTCTGTAAACATGACAGACTGTGAGTTACCTGGTTAAACCTCCACAGCCACAAAGGAAATGACAACTGTGTGACACAGGCGTTCCATTTGATATGAAAACTTCAGGGCTGGTTCCATCAGCTCACAACAGAACCTCCCTTCACCTCCCGCTGTGTGGGCAGTCAGGCACCATGGGTGCTCTTCCAGATAATTTCTCCATAGGATGCTTCTTCCCTTTGTCCCTGCAAATGAGCTTGCTCCTGCCCTCCAGACCTCAGCCTTTATCAGCATGGGCATCCTCTAAAACTGGCCTTTCTCATGGGCATAAACTCTCTTCCTCACTCCCTCCCCAGCCCAGGCTCCCTGCAGTGGCTGACAAAGCTTGCCCAAGATGGTGACTTGATCATTCTCCTCTCTCCATCACTCCACTGGCTCACCTGCCAAGCATCTTATGATCAGCCCCAGGTCACTGCACAATTGCATCCCTCCATACTCATCTCTCCTGCACTCTCATCCTGTCACTCCTTTCCTACTCCCTCTGCTCCTCCTACAATCAAACCCCTCTTTGTGCCATTTTCCCTCATTGCTCTGATGCTCCAAGTGGTCTCTGAGAGCTCACCTGCAAAGCCATCTCATTTTCAGTCAATCCCTCTGAGTATCTATCCTCAACCTTCAGGTAAAGGCTAGAAGAACTGAGCCCAAGACACCATCTGCTAATCTGGGTAATTTCTTAAGCTCTCAAGCAAACTGCTCAGTTGTTTTTTGCTGAGGGGTGATATTTTAGCAGACCTATAAATGTCCCCAAATACTGGAAGGCTGCTCTGGAAGAAGACACTTGCTAGACATTAAATCAGCACAAATAAGAAGCCAACAACAGAAATCAGTGCTCACAGGCAAGGAGAATCACAGCACTTCTAATCCTGACCACACAGGGCCAGATTCAAACACCCTCTGCTGTTCAAGCAACGAGCTGAAAACTGATCAGTCATCTGCTATGGACACATAGGCAGAACTACACCAATACAAAACAGGAACTAAATCTACACTGGGATTTCTCTGTCATTGTCAAAATGAGAGAACAGCGTGCAGCATTTACAACACGTTTAAAGGAAGAGGGAGGTCTCACTGTGCAAGCAACGGCAATTAGAGAAGTTCAGAAGTTTGTGAACTCTGGCATTCAGGTTCTTTGACTCAGATAATTACCTTTGGATTTTGCACGGTGTTTTTGGCTCCCTGGTCTCTATTATGAGAGGGAATGAATAGTTCTGAGCTTGTAAAACAAAGAACAGTCAGGAATAAGAGTATTATGCAAAGCAGAAGCTTTGGTACAGTACAATAAGGATTTATAGGGTTTCAATTTATAATCTGTTTGTAACCTTATTACACCCATGAAATGTCACATTCCAGGGACTAGATCAGAAGGATTTTTTTTCCTGGTGAAATTGAATTTTGATGCAGTTTCAGGGTGTGAAAAGGCAAACCTGCAAGTTTTACTTACGTTGGTAATCCTTATTACAGTAAATAGGCGCATGAAAGCCAATGATATTACTCCCCAGTGTCAGGTTTGCTCACATAAGGCTCTGAAGCACCAGCTCTGTATTATTAAGTATTTCTGACCTGAAAAAAAGCCTCCATTAAAAGCTGGAATTCTAGTAGCTATCTCCCATTGCACACAGCTCCAAAAAGCTGCTAAACAGGGGTCATTTGCAAATACCAGTCACTGCCGTGCCACTTCCATGCCTATTACCAAACCTCAGTCTGTCCTGGCTCATTTTCTTTTCTTTAAAAATGTTGCTATTAACATTCAGCTCCAAAATACCCTAAAATGAACAGATGGAGCTGACCTAAATACTGATTTTGGTCTCAGGATGCTCTGACTTTCAAGGAGGAAGCTCTGCAACGGATTTCAATTCCAGAGAACAAATAAAAGCCACCAAATTCATTGAAATCAAGGCTGAAGTTGGCCTGTCATCTCTACTGGAGAAGGTCAAAAACCAGAGGTAACAAGGAGCACAAACTGCAGCTTCCTGGAAGCATAAATGCTTACGTGGTAATAATACACTAAATTACAGTGGTAAGAAATACTGTTAAAGAAGGGAACATCTTAAATCCTACATGTTCTCATGTAATCAATGCACATCATACATGCTACTCCAAATTGTAGCACATGATGCAAGGTTACATTGGAGGTACGATCTGCAATAATCTTCCATTTCCCTCCTCCATGAGTTTTTAAGAAGGGACTATCTAAGCATATCCTGGCTGACCGCTTGGTACCCATTAGCTATTCAATACATAACCAAAGGCCAAACGGGCTCCCACAGCAGGAAGAAAGCCTCTTCATACCAATGGAATGAATTAGGAACAACAGAAAAAGAACGACTGTGACCTGCAACCGAAATTGCATCTACAAGCAAAGTGTTACTTGGTGGATAAAGCAGAAAACATCAGGAAAATCTCCTGATCCTGCTTTCTAGACACACTATCCCTAGTATTTGCTAAGAGAAAACTGGGAAGAGACATGCTGTATTGGTATAATGTGGTAAGATAGTGGCACAGTGGAACATGTATCACCACTGCCAAAAATTAGTTTAATTTCTATTATACAATTTCTATCTTTTCATGGTTATTTCCTCGTATTTTATGGATGTAAAAAGGAGATGCTAAAGAACTTCTCACTAAATCTCACTACTGACACCAAGCAAAAGCAGCATTTAAGCCATCTTGTAGCACAAATCTCCTCCTGGACTGTACTGCCACAGCAAGTCCCTCAAACCAGCAGAGCCATAGCATTTGTTGCACAGGAGAGGAAGCATGAACAGCAAAGAGGCACCGCAATGGAATGGCTGCTAAACACAGCTCATCTCCCAGCTGCACGAGGGAGTCGCAGAGCCCGCGGGCTGCAGAGGGGAAACACGCAGAGACTGTGTCTGGCAGTAACAGACTGGATAGCTCTGAGGCTGGTTTGGGAGGGGATTAGCTGTCCCTGACCTCTAAGTCCTGCAGGGAACACTCTTATTCATGTGTTTTGCACAGGGGATGTACATTTGCCCTTAAGCCCACATTCAGTCAGAAATATTAGGAGGGTTCTTGGTCATCAGGCCCATCCCTTGCTGTGGCAAGCCTCGTTACACATAATACCAGTCATGAACGGAGCAAGCTTCGTCTTCTAAGTACATTGGTGATCTACTCCCAGTGGAAGGCTCTTCTAGGAACTCACTCCTCTGCTGGTTAGCAACTAATTTCTAGCTTCGATTTATTCGCAGCCAATTTATATTTATTTGTTCTTCTGCCAACAATATCCTTTAGCTTAAACAGCTCTGCTTCCCTGCACAGTGTTTATTTTTCTCCCTCCCCAACTAACTGACATACATCACTCTACTTTTTGCCTTCACTTGCTGGATTAAACAAACTGGTTTGTTCTGGTCTTCTCTAGGATGACGAAGTCTTCATTCACCCTCTTACCCTGCTTCGACTTGAGGTGTGGGAAGTCCCTATGTCCTGCCTGTCAGTGG